AAAGGATTTTCAGAATACACCACTGGAGGTGATCGATGTGAGATTGCCAGTAGATATGGATAATGGAGTTGCCTAGAGTAGTACAAGATCATCACCAGCAGAAGCCTTCAGAACGAGAAATAAAATCTATTTCAAACAAAGTGCTTCAAGATACTCTTATAGGAAGAGTTTTGGAAACAGAAATAATGAATCTAAAACCTTTTTTCAATAAATTTATCCAACATCATCTTACAGAGAAACTTTCACAGCTAATGATGGAAGAGAAACTAAAGAAAGTACATCAGAATTTGTCTTCACTGACTGTTAGAGAAGGAGAGCTTGTGGCACAAGTGACGGGTTTACTGGAAATAGACCAGGTTAATTGTAGTGAAAATCTAGCTAAACAATCTATAATAAAAGGAAAACTTGCATTAAGTGAGAGAGTGCAAAACTTTCTTCTAGAGCTACTCCCAGAAAGAGAAATTATGACTCTAAAATCAGTTTTAAGCAAAAAAAATCCAGGATCATCTTGTTGAAAGACTTGCAAAAATAGGGTTAATCACAAAAGAAGAATTAACAAAGGTGAAAGAGAACTTGCTCTTGTTAAGAGCTAGTAGAGGACAGTCAAAAGACAGAGAATCTGGGCTGCTCAAGGAAAAAAAAGCGCTGGTCTGAAATCTTTATTTTACTCAAATCTTCAAGATAACCTTCAGAAACAAAACAGTTAAAGTCTCTTACAGGTAAAATCCCAGGAGATTCTAAAGGCAATATTTCTGAAACAGAAGTAACAAGTTCAGAATCTATGTTAAGCAGCACTTTGGAAGATATTCCATTTTACTGAATATTTCAGTTTCTGAAATATCTTCTTTATGAAGAAGAGTGATAGAGGCCTCAAACAGATAGTGACACAGAGACAAGAAATGAAAAACAAGATCATCTTGAGGATGAATTTCCAGATCCAGTAGTAGTTATAGTGGTTAACGTAAATAATGAAAAGCAAACAGTTTAATGTACTTTCTTAAAAAAATAATTAATACGTTTGAAAAAGAAAAATCAAGAAAAAAGGTGGAAGTAGTCAAAAAAAGGTTTTGAAAGACCATTAAATCAGAAAGCCCATGTTGAGATAGAAACATCAGAAACAAGGAAGTTGCTGCTTTTTCAGCTTGAGTTGTTGTTTAGTAGTGCAGTATTAGAAATGAGAACTTACTGAACTATAGGGAGAAGAAAGGCAGTTTTTATCTGACTTAATAATTCAAGTTCATGTCATGGCTGAATTTAACCATGGGAATTAAACTCTAACTTGCTTAAGAGGCATGTTTCTCAAGCAGTAATACCAGTGCAGCTTAATGGACACTGACTAGTAAGTGGTTGGTGTTGCAAGTTCTTTTGAGAAACCAGTATACAGTATAAAACAAAATACTTACAATAACTTTAAATTACTTAACATGATATTTCAAAATTTACTGCTACCTGTTATAACTTGAGGTTTGCTTTACATCGTAAGTGGTCCTCAGACCGTTTGCTAAGATGACACATGACATAATAAATGGAGATGAAAAGCACAGATCTCTACTATGAACGTAGACAAATGCAAGAGAACAAGTCACACTTGCAAAGAAGCTAAGCTTCTTTGGACAACGTGCAGTTAGAACTGCATGAAAGACTTGATGGTAGCTAATTTTTGGCAAGTATCACAGCGTATCAGCTGAGGAAAATGCATTAATGGTACTGTTTCAGATGTGTGCAAGGTGTTGGAGTCCAGTACACGCTCACCAGGTTCTTTTAGACATTCTATGCATACGGAGAGTGCAATGTTTAATATAAAAGTATAAAGGTTTTATTTTTGAGGGAATTTGATGTTACACAGGATTTTTGATTTAGCAGAGTGATCCAGCAATACACTGAAATCACAATTCAAGTGCGTACACTTAACAAAATCTAGCAATTGCAATATACAATTCAATCACAATACCAATGTGATTGCCATTACCAGTCTCGGATATGCTCACTGTCATGACCCTGGGTGTCCCAGTCCCAGGAATACATGGGTTGAAGCCAGCTCAAAACCATTGCTCTTTTCAAAATTCCTTTGTTAGCTGTTGAGGTTTTATACTCTCTGTTGGGTTGAGCCAGGTATACTCTTCCCCCATGCTGGTCTGGCTGTTCTCAGGGAGCCCTTCACGTTCTTTTGAACAACTCAGAAGAAACATTCACACCAGTCTGTCTAATTGCTGGCTGCTTATCCAAAAGAAAGGTCGCCCTCAGGCCCCCTTTGTGTGGAGATAAATCAGTTCTCTGTGCAACAGCAAGGATTAAGGAGCTGCATCCTACACTGTCCTTGAGCATCGTGGGGCACCTGGCCCTCTGAGCCTTCTCCCATTGTAGGGGTTATTGGTCGATCACAAAAAGAGAAATATTTATTTGCATAAACAAGCAACTATTTTATATAATTTCAACTGTAGGCTTGGAAGCGGAGAGTTCCTCCCGACTAAACCTTATTTCACGTGGTATGTAACGTTGACAAAATAGGGGAAAAACTATGTATCCTGCCACCCATCCTTCTGTTCCTTGCTTTTTGCTTACAGTATTCTTTCCATTTTTTCTGACATATTTTTTAACATAAGTAAGTTTACAGTTGTTACATACTAGACGTAGACTTCAGCCTCCGTTTGGAGGCAGAGCTCGCGCAGAATATCAGCTTAAATCAGTGATTCTTTCTAAAAGAAATTGCCCATTTACCCTCCAAGGTGCATGAAGTTTTGTTTCTCTTGTTCAGGTGCTGAGATAAATGGAGTTAGTCAGATAGGTAAGGCTGGAAGAATTGGGAATTTAGGTTTTCTGCTGCTGCTTTTTGGTTAGAATTTCTGCTGACATTAATTAGTCAAAAATTTAAATAATTATGAGCTGTTTGGTCTCAGTACAGGCATTTGGAAAAGTATATTTCACCAAGATGGCTATCAGAGATTTGTGAATGGTAAGACTAGAGCTCCAGTGATGTAACTGGAATGAAAACTTTGGTTGTTGCATTTACTGGTTATCTTCTGTTTGGCGCCTAATGTGTCTTTCAGTCTTCCTCGCAAATAGGATGGGTCCCTACCTACGTATTCGGTTTGTCTGTATTGGTATTCTGTTAGTATTTATTTTGCCTATCAGGAGATTCCACTACTAAAGATGAACTTGTTTGAAAACACACTGAGAGCTTTTGGACTGCTTCATGTTGTTTGAATTTTGAGTGCTCTTCTTAGTTTTTTTGTTTAATTGAGTGTTATTAGCACTGTTTAAGTGTTGCTGCTGACCATAGCTTTTAAGTATTTTCTTGGTTAAAATATTACTTCCACGTGTCTGATGCAATTAGCCTTCCCCCCCCCCCATTATAAACCTCATATCATACATGTCAACTTTTTCCCCCATTATAAACATCATATCATACATGTCACATTTTTGAAGAGATGAGGTATTAGCCTTGTCCTGGACAAGTTGCTTAGTTGACTTCCTTTAGCTCTGACCTATAATTTTCATCCCATATGATATTCTTTGCTTTCTCTTCTAAACTACCGTTTTAGTATTGCTAGTTTTTCCTTTGCATCCCAGAGGTAGGTTGAAGTAAGTTCTGGATGAAAGAACTGCTAAAATAATGGGCAATGATGACTGACGTCCTTGAATAAAATGTGCCGACTTGTTCCCCTTCTTGCGAGTGTGTAGCCATTATAAATACTCGAATGGCTTCAGAGAAATCCTGTAAATTATCTTAAGAATGTATTTCTCATCCTTATTTGGATGTAAATACATTACATTTGATTACATTCCACTAATAATGGAATAAACCTGAATGATTAGTAGGTTATGGCATATATCAAGAATGGGACAGGTAAAGGGCCATAGGTTCTAGATAAATTATTTTGGAGCCAGTAAGTTTGGGCACAGATATATTTTAATTAAGAAAGGCTTTTTAATTTGTTTGTGAAGTTTGAAGATTCCTTTTACTAAGATTAAGAAAAAGTGTAATCTCTTTGATGTTAGCTGCCATCTGTAGTTTTACAATTTTTCAAGAATCAAATCAGTTGAACATGTCCTTTTTATCTTACTATTCAGAATCATGCAAGTGAAGATATAAAAATGAAAGTATGTGAGTATTTTGAAAAAGCAGTAGAGAGAGCTCTACAGATCTACCAGGGGCTCCAGAAGTAATGCTTGTGTCAGCCACCAAATTCTGCAAGACCACGCAGTGTTCCTCCTGTTTGTAGGTCAGCTAAAGAGATCTCTGGAACACAGGCTGCAGGTTCTTCCATTGCATCGCTAGATTCTTCCATTAGTAAAGATGCAGGAAATACTACCAGATTAAAGTTTGAGAATCAAAACACTCGAGCAGACCAAGTAGAAATCAGTCCTAAGAAAAGGGTAAATTTCTGTGAAATTCTCAAAGATGTATTACTGGAAAATGCGACACCCCAGAGTGATGACAAATGAAGTCAAAATGCCTTTCCAAAGAAAAGCCAGAGGGCAACGTAACTCTTACTTGGAATCTAACTTAGGAAGATAGTGTTCCCACCTTGTGATTGAAGAAAGTTGAAGTTACCAGTAATAAAAGTGTTCTTGCAGCATCTTCACTGCATCTTTCCCTTTGAGACTTTAGGATAGTCATTTACTTTGTTAACCAACATTAAATATGTTTTTTATTTTGCAGTGGGGCTTTGGATTTGGTAACAGTTTATATAGCTTTTCTGGCTTTGGTGATTTATGGAATAAGGTGGTGTCCACAGTGCAATCAGAATTGTAAGTAATTGATGTGACAGACTAGTGGATTAGGCAAAGAGACCAGATTTCTAAGACAACTGTTGTAGTACAAGAAAAAATGAACTTGTTGGAAAACGTGTTTCTGCTGTCAGTTACATTAATAGAGTAACCGGTCTCCTGCATTTCAGAAATGTACAAGTACAAAAGACGTGATGGTAGCTAACTTTTGGCAAGTATCACGGCATATCAGCTGAGAAAAATGCATTAATGGAGTTGTTTCAGATGTGTGAAAAGAGAAACATTTATTTGCATAAACAAGCAACTAATTTGTGTAATTTCAAATGTAAGCTTGGAAGTGGAGAGTTCCTCCTCACTAAATTAATTTGGGTGAGAATGAAAAGACAGATGAGACTGTTAAAATAAGTAAGGTCATAAACAAAATGCAAGCCTGAACTTAGAAAGGCGCTTGGACTCTAGCAATATGAGCTGAAAACTTTCAGTACTGTACAGTGTAAGAATACAGCAGGAGTCCCCTTGTTAAAAATATTTTGGAAAAAAGAAATACGAGCTCAGTTATTCTCTATATACAGTTGTCCTTACAGCCAGAGAAAGGTGAGACTTTACTGCACTTCATGGTGCCAACAGAGGAAGAAATTAATGAAATATGGCCACTGCAACTGCATTTTCAAGTATACCTTGTCTAATTATATTTTAGCCACATAAAGTAAAGCAGCAAGTAGAAATCACATTTTCCTTCTTTGAAGCATGGGAGAGGTATGATGGTTTTGTATCTTTTTAGAATTCCCAGTCTATGTCATTTTGATTTGCAGTAATATATCCAAGTTCAGTCCCAATTGCTGGAGAGGGCAGTGCCAAGAATGCTGATCTGTTACTTTGAATAGGAGGTGGTAACAAGGACAATAATGTGCTCCGTGTTTGTTCTTTTATCTAGAAAGAAGAACAAAAGGTAAAATACGGCTGCATATAAAATTCTACATAACATTGCATCTGACTTCATTAAAAGCATATGAAATCATAGAGCTGCATTCTTATATGCAGAATATTGAAAATGACACGATGAGAGATTTACCCTTCCTCACTGCAGAGTAAGTTCAATTAATATTTTAATTTTAACCACATAGGCTGTGCAATTCTTCTGCTTTAAATTTAGGATATTAACCGATTTTCTCATTAGTTAGTCTGACTTCAGTTAAGTTAAACTAACTTATTGTCAAAGAAGAAATGGATTACTCTTCCTACACCTTATTACTCTTCCTACTGCTTCTTACACCCTATCATAACAATTTGTTTTTAAAAAAAAAAAAAGTTGTCTGAAGAAGATGTTCTATATGATGTTAGGTTCCAAGCTGACTCAATTATTTTGCAATTCAACTGTAATATTTTGTGGTTTATTTAGGGTATAGCTATGTCATCTAACAGAATTCAGTAAACTCACCTGTTTGAAGAATGTATGCGAAAGCAAACTGCTTGCTGATGGCCTGGATCATAAAATGAAAAATACAATTATGTTGTTATGTTTTGGAAAATAAGCACTGCTTTTGGGAAAGGTGCTAAATGACAAATGAATGTAAGCCCTGTGGTTATTTACCCACAAGGCACATGCAAAGCATTAAAAAAAAAAAAAAAAAAGCACAGGTTTCCTACATTCTATGCCTCAGTTTGCAGTGAGGGCACTCCTAAAAAGCCTTTAAAATAAATGAATTGCATTTACTTTTTCTTAGAAAAGAATTTAATGTCTCAGAAGAGATATCGTATTGAAAACCAAGTACTTCAGTTCACTGTTTTTTTTCTTGGAAAAAATGCATATTTAGAAATTGATTTTTCTTATTTAACCACAGAACATTAATATGATAAGAAATTCAGTCCCAAGGATCAGTCAGCACTTTAAAAGCATGGTTCCTCAGACAAGATAATTCTTAAAAGTACAAAACCAAAGGTAAGTGTAGTGTTTAGTATAGTACTTATTGTTTGAAATTCTGATATTAGCAGTATTCAGCTAATTACTGGATCCTAAACTGTGTGCTATACTTGGTCTTAGGTTGAAGTGACAGAAAGCTAGCTTTTACCAGGAGGTTACCTTTTCTCAGGGTCCTGTTGCAAGCAAAGTTCTATCAAGTTGTGGAAAGCAGGGGAAAACGTTTTGGAAAAGGGAATTTGCAGTCCTTCACTAGTCATTGTGCGTGTCATGCTCTCACCAATTCCAGAATCAACACCTGATCGGGAATTCTTCATCCTGGATTCCCCACGGGGGAAGGTATTTATATCCCAAGGACAATACGTGGGACCTTTCAGCTTTTGCAGCAGCATCTAGTGGAAAGGAATGGAAGTATAACAGAGTCCAGCAGTTGTTTAGAGCTAATCAGGCTAAGCTGTTAAATAATCTTTCCATTCCTGGAGTTTGGTCTAGGAAGAAGTATGCAGATTTGAAATAACAAAGAACAGCCACTGTTTCAATAGTAATAGCATTGATTTCTCTGAGTAAAAGAAAAAAAAAAGTTCTGAGTGTATTGAAGGAGAAATAGAATTTAGCATCAAACCTGAGTGCGAGGCATATCTTGAAATGGAACATGTCCATTGGCTAGTTCACATGCTGTAATCCCCACACTGTAAATGTCAGACTTCACATTATACCCAGACAAATCCTGCGGGAGAAAGAGAATCAGCCTAAATCACTGAAGCCATTGATCAGGGCAGACCAAAATACAAACGCCCGTTTCAGGATATCCCATATTCTACACAGGAATGGGATAATTAGTGAGGTGTGAAACCTGATACTATGGTCAAAAATCTGACTGGTGAACTGAAGACAAATTTTAAGATCGGCAGTAGCTCCCAGGAAGAAGAAAGTAGCACAGCAGCGTCTTAACAACAGCTTAGAAACTTCTTCTCTAAAGGAGAGTTTTAATAACTTCAGTACCTCTTTGTTTAATTTTAAAGTTGCAGATCAGCAGCCTCCACTGCCCTTTTACAAGCAAACTTAAGCCAGAAATTAACTACTTAGTATCTTTGGATAGCAAAAGTGAAGTGTAATTTGTACTGACCTGTCTCAGTAGTTCAGGACTCAGCCAAGGAAGCACGGATGTACTAAATTGGGGGAAATCATATACCACCTTTGACTTTTGTCCATTGTTAACTAAGCTGTAGAGGTTGCTTAAGCCCGAGAGAGAAACCAGACCATCCCCTGAAATCAGAATGTGGCTAGCTTTAATATTCCTGTAACACAAAGTGGTAAATTTTAGTTATACAAATTACTCAAAACAGTACTAGCTTTCATATTTCATTAATTCATAAAATACTGAGATGTTAAAGTACAGTTCTGTTTAGCAGTTTATTATCACACACTCAGTATGAGTTGTCTTTTTAATACAACCTCAAGTGAGGGCAGAAATGATTGCCAAGAAAAACTGATTGCCAGAAACTGGAGAAGGGCTTTCCTTCTCTGCAAAGGGTGAAAAGCAAGCAAGCCCTCTCTACAACTGTTTTCTCTTCAGCTTCAGAAAGACAGAACCAGACAGATGTACACACTGATTTAAATAAGAGGACTGGTGTTATAAACAGGTTTAAATAATGTTTGGATACCGTTCTTGTTAAGGTTCTACAAACTAAATTCTGCTCTGTTATTTAAAAAAAAAAATGCTTCTGCACTATCTGACATAAAAAGGTATACAGAAGAAGGAAAGGAGGCAACACTTAAGAAAAGCTGAAAATGGGTTTTGAAGGGAAACTGAGCTCTCAGCTGTAATCTGGTTCTCACCTATGTCACTGATTTTCTCCTACCTGTGAATGTAGCCATTTTGGTGCATGTAATTTAATCCTCTGATTGCGCCAAACAGAATGTTGCCTATCAAAGCTTCACTCATTCCTTCAGGGAAGTAAGTTTTCAGCAGGTGTCTAGCAGAACCTGAAAGAGAAGAGAAGATAACCTAGCTAAGCAAACAAGTATTCATTGCATTCACAAAGAGCAGTATTCTCACTTCTGTATTGACTATGGTACATGAAGAACGCTTATATGGAAGCAGCTTGCACCAGGCAAAGATCACACTCAAGTCAGGTTTCTGTTAATTGAACCTGTACTCAATCCAGACAGGTTTTCTGTTGACAAAATTCAAAAGTGCATCAAGTCAAATGCATTCCCCAGCTAACGTTCCTCAGATAGTGGATGTCAGGACTTGAAGTGCAAGCTAATGCAGTTTGAATGCCAAACGTCACTGGGGAGGAAGAACATGTATGGAAGACTTCTTTAGTTTGGGACAAAAGATGCTTAAAAGAAAAATCTCTTATGGCCCTTTCTCTTATTTGAAAATGGCACTTAACAGTTCTTACCATATGCCATGAACGGAGAGATGACCCAAAGCCAATTACCAGCTGTAAACACTGTCCAAAGTGTCATTATGTTGGGATGCTGGAAAAAGTGGGATAAAATCACCTCGTTCTAAGGAATTAAATAAAAGTGGTTATGTTAACCAGAAGACAACTGTTGCTAAGAACATTAATTACATCAGTTAGTAGAAAGAATTGTTCCCTGTGTGCATTTATGCTAATGTTGCAGCTGATGTGCACAGCGTGCAAAAAAATAGGCAAATACCCTGCCTATGATTGCATTTGTCTGAAATAAATGTAGTTTGAGGTTGTGATGTAAATGCAGAATACAGAACGTATTTCAAGGAAAACACTTGGTACAATTACAGAAGTCTTTTTAAAACACTTGTTAACTGTTTTATTCGGAAAGTAGTTCTGTTTCATATTTACCGTGCTTTGTACTCTTTTAAAGGAAAAACTTAAATGACCTATTTCATATAGGAGGGCTACCTCTGTTTAGTAACCTTATATATATTCATTGGGGCCTTCATCAGACTAGTGCAGCAGTGCTGTTGCTTTACCTGCAAAGCTTTCAAATGCTCTTCAGAGCAACTTTCTAGGTCTGTGATCCTTACAGCAACTTGCATCCCTGTAGGTGTATGCCGTGCAAGGTAGACTGAAGTTAAGTTGTTGAATCTCCTTCCTGAAACCAGAAGTGGCTACCTTGGTTAACATTGGCAAAAATATAATAATGCACCCATAACTTGCTTCATATTTAGAGATCATTTTAAAATTCTGATATAGCAGCATGTCTTTTTCTTTAGGCATGTCAATAACTTAAGTAGTTGCAGCAAAATACATGCATCAAATTAGTTAAAACATGGCTCTTTCTATTTTTAGAGCAACTAAAAGCATTTAAACGTTTTTTCAGCATCAATTACATATCTTCCACATGTAAATGAACAATGCTTCTAGCACGCACATTCACATAAACAGATATAGGCACAGTAAGATTGAGGGCAGCTATTTTAGGACAATCATCTTAGGCAGCCAAGTGACAAGACAGTGTTACCTAATGTGTTATCTACTGCCCGTATAACCACAAGCGTAGAGAACTGAGCTGTGCACACATATGCTCACATCAAGAGAAAAATTCAGATAACTGATTTTATATTTTTAAAATAAGTGATAACTGGAAAAAAGCACAGAACCTCTCTCATCCTTAACTAAAGAGACCCAAGAATGGTTCTATTCGGCCGATAGGTTTGCCAGCCTTACTAAGTATTCACTGAAGTAAGCAATGCCCCAAGAGAACACATCTGCAAGAACAAGTAGTATTTTATGGTACAATTAGCTTACCTATTTCCACCTGGAGTTCATAGTGAGAGACATTGGAAGAGCAAAACATCATTTCATTCTCTCCTGTAGCTGGGGGAATCCAGGCTAGATCAGAATCAGCCTACAAGTGAGGAAAAAACAGTTCTCAAAATTACTATGTACACTTGCACGTTTAACAGAGAAACAGCATTAATGAAAATGCAAAGATCGAGTACTGAAGTCACAACACTCAAGCTGATGCTTTTACCACTATCCTGAGATTTAGTTACATGAGCTATTTTAGTTAGTTATTACCTGTAGTCTTCTTCCAAAGTGGAAGCCCCAAAAAGGACTCTGGTTATTTTTCTAAGTTAATATTTGAAAAAGTACCTGACTTAGTGAGATTATTGTTGGTATGTAGTAATTTTAATATGTATAACTTTGCCAGTTAACATTTTTATTTTCTTCTTACCAGATATTCATGGATGCTGCTCTGAGATTGCTTTTCTGGTCTGATTGATTCAACTCGTGTACGTAGAATACAGGAACAGTCCTTGAAAACAGAAACAAGTGAATGTTAGTAGACTTGCTATAACTTATTAAATGTGATCATGTGAGAACATCAGAAATAACGCCCTTATGAGCAGTAGTTCAGAAAGTCAGGCAAGAGGTAAGACCTAGAGAGAAGAGAAACTAAATATCCTCCATAAGCAAAAGCTGGTATTACAAAGTTTAAGTATCTCATCACTGTGGAAATCCTTCAAGTGAAGTGTTTCAACTGTACAGCAAGACATTTCACTAGAACTTTTTCACATTGAGTTATAACTGGATAACAAGGTGCAACTATCGATGCTTTTTAAAAATAAACTTACCAAACACGACATGGAACCTCTTTAGAGCAGGGGAAAAGTCATATACATCCATTTATCCTAGAAAAATGTAAAGTATCACTGTAAGATTTTACATCAACCTGTGGCCCAGCACTGAGAAATCCTGAGCATAAATGTCTGTCTCTTTTTAATCAAAATTGTGAGGTGTTCCTCTCAGTTATCAAAATACCTCTTCTTACTAAAATTTATATCACATACAAAAAAATTCCAAAAATTCCAAAGAATTTCTACAAAACCGGGGAGGCCTACTTAGTTGTACTGAGTCTTTAGGCAGCACATGGATTTCAAATGCCACACTGAGAATATGCAATGTACATTCCAACTACTGTTTTCCTTTTTGTTTAATGGGTTTGGATATCTTCTAAACTTTCCTGAACAAGCAATTGAATTGCAAGTCAACTGCATAAGTGCACAAAATAAAAGGAAACAGATTCATGGATCACTGGCAGTTTATAGAAAAGAAAAATCAGCTATTGCTTTGAAGGAGCACAGCTGTACTAGTCAGATTTCAGCTCAGCTGTTGCAGCCGAACTAGCTCATGAAAAAAGCAAGCCAGAAGCAACTGCACTGTGTATGTCACAAGCAAGAGAAGAAAGTACTACCATGAAGAACAGGAGTTAAAAAGGAGAGGAACCAACTCGGATCGCTTTCTCATTACTTAGGTTACAGAATCGGCATTCAGCCCAAACTCCCTCGCACATCAGCCTAGCCACTCAAAGTCTTCCAGCAGACTTGTTTTCTATCTAACGCTTTGAAAATTTAGGAGATGAGGAGAGAGGAAGATGACAATGTCTAACAAGCGTATCAAAGCTTCTGAAGGGCAGAGTGGGATTAGCTAATTTCCTTTAGCTACTCACTGATCTGCAAGTGTGCATCTTCTCTGCCATGAATAATCCTTCTTGGTGGCTGACAAAGCTACAGGAGGTAGTTCCATTTTAATATGTAGTTATTGTTTGAAAGTTAATTTTAAAAAGGTGAAGTACTATACGAGTAACTGATGATTTTGATTATCAAGGCACTAAACTTGACTACATGCACCATTCAAATTACGGATGCCATTTAATCCTGGCAACGCTCTTGAAAAATCTAACAAGCTCCCACCACCCGTCTATTGCTAAAATACCTTAACGGGCATCTCCTAATCCTCTTTACCCTCAACAGCTACTTGAAGTAAGGAAATGCTGTAACTGTGTCTTATAGATGAAAAGAGAGCTAAAAAGATCCGTAGGTGATATTTTGCTGCCTAACTTCTTCAAAAGATCTGGGCTTGACTTACCCACTTTCACAAAGGAAGTGGCAGAGCTGGAGACACCGCCGATGTTCCAAGACATGGTCCAGCACAGTCACTGCTAGAGCATCCTCCTCCAAGCTGGAAAGAAAATGGCTTATTCTATTATACGAGGTAAGTTACTCTGTTGCTTGGAATATGAAACCACAAAAGCTAAGCTGATTCAAGTCCTAGTAACTAGGATACACTGAAGCGAAGTTATTGGCGAACTAGTTAAAAGCTATAAAAGGGTATAGCTAGCCAACATAGCTGTCCATGATCCACGTTTGTTCACATAACACTAGTAAGACTTAAGACTTTTTTTTGTTTCATAATCTAACTTTGCCTCCATTTTCTTGTATGGTTTGGATCACATCACTACATAAACCTGTTCCACCTTTCCACGTTTTTCTTTTTTGTATCACAGCCTTCCTGTATACTGCAGATTGCGATAGCAGCATACAGCTGATCGGACACATTCATCCCAACATGCCCAAAGCTTCAGAGTCGGTGGGCGATGTGGGAAGGAAGTTCATCGATCAACAGACAAACGTGTCTGTGAACCTCAGGGACGGCCGAAGCTCCACAGCCAAAGCCCAGGTACCCTGACTGCGCCTTAATCTAGTTTTGTTAACCCTGGGCTGTAGCTCACTGAGTTACTTTCGCGTTTTGAGTGACTGAAACGGTTCTTTATGACAGACCTCGAGTTTTAAATGACTGCGCCTGCGGCAGAAGTACGGTATACGGAAAGGCAGCGCCCCGGGAGCCCCTCAGGGGACAGCTTCCCGCTCGCTCCCTTCGCTCGTACACGGCTGCCCCCCCTCCCCCGGCCCCGGGCTGCCCGACGGCCTGGCGCCGCTGCCCCGAGCTC